GCATCAGGTTCATCAGCTTCAAACGGCAGCGACAACAACGGAGGCAACAACGGTAACAATGGATCATCAAGTGCAGCAGCATCATCAGCAGCAGCAGCATCAGGTTCATCAGCTTCAAACGGCAGCGACAACAACGGAGGCAACAACGGTAACAATGGATCATCAAGTGCAGCAGCATCATCAGCAGCAGCAGCATCAGGTTCATCAGCTTCAAACGGCAGCGACAACAACGGAGGCAACAACGGTAACAATGGATCATCAAGTGCAGCAGCATCATCAGCAGCAGCATCATCAGGTGCAAACGCAAACAATAACAACGGAAGTAACAATGGGAATAATTCTGGATCAAGTGCAGCAGCAGTAACATCATCAAACGGCAGTGGTCAAAAAGTGAACAATGCAGGTTCGAGCTCTGGCGCAACAGCAGGATCTGGTAGCAATGGAGGAAATCGGCAAAACAATGGCGGTAGTAAAGGTGCAAACGGATCTGCAGCCTCATCAGCTTCATCATCAGCAGCATCTTCAGGTAGTGCTGGCAATGGAAATTCTAAAAGAGGAGGTAAACAGGGAAATGGTCAGGGCAATGCAGGAGCAGCAACTTCAGCTGCAGCAAGTTCAGCATCTGGGAAGGGCTCAAAGTCTGGTAAAAGTCCAGCTAAGCAAGGAATTATCCCAGCCATGATGTCTAAAATTCCAGCTTTAAGTGTTTCTATGTTTTAAATTTGTATTGAATTATAAATTACATTACTCTTATGTGTCATGTACTCATAGATTAAAATAAAGAGCATTTAATTTCAAATTTAAGATTACGTTTCTAACAAGGGAGGTACTTGAGGGCATCCGCACCGGTTTTAATGATTAATATGTCATTGAATTCATCTTACTAACGCAAAAATAGTTCGTCGTCTTTTAAGTAGCAAATTTACAGAAGGTTCGAAAAGCGCGATTCATTGGATCGCTATGCATAGATCAATGTGAAAGGAATAATATGAAATCCTTTTGATTATGAACATTTAACATTCAGAAATGTTTGATTGTTACAGAAACCATTTTGATTAGCTTTTTTGTTCAACTCATTTTGTTTTAAATGCATTTGAATTATGATTGAATGATCTATCATAAAAATATTAATTTTTATTCGGATGACCTCGGGTTCTTCCCTCGCAAGTCTATTGCTTATCATTTCTTTTTCATTTCTAGGTGTCTAAGCAACGCAACAAGAATTCGATATTATAACTTTTAATGATGTGAAAAATGATCAACTGCATAATGAGTCATATCTAGTCAAGAATTGATCAACAGAATAGTTAGTGGGACAAGCAGAAACAATCGGAATTTTCATTCTTGTGTTACCTCAGAGTTAAGGCTAAGTAATTGACTGAAGTCATGCAATCAAACTATCAACCTGTTCATCTTGCAACTTCCGTTTCAGTTTCTTTCAAATCTTACCTCAATTTGTTACAAATTTGTAAAAGTGTAAAGGCACAAGCTTATTTCAAATCGTTTTGATGAGTTTCAAAAGTATTTAATTTGAAATTTAACACAAAATTAGTACCACATTCAATTTCGTTGATAAATCGTTGTTTATAAACAAAAGGCTAACAAATTTCGGAAGCTCCAGACATTCAATTAGTTTTTACACTTGACTTTACAAAAACATCACGAATCAAAGTTGATAGATATTGCTGTAGATTTGATAATGATCAAGTAAGTGATGATGTGATTGATCTTTTGAATGCAAATCTAAAAGTTTACTTCTATTGAGTCTTGAATTTAATAACCGATGTTCAATAAAGTAGAGATAATCATTTGAATAACAAGATATACCAAATTATGACCTACTAACATGCCTTGCTTGGACTTGCAAAATGAGGTGAGTGAAGATAATGGCGGATTTAGTGTTAGCGAAAGGAAACCTTTACCAAATTGGACTATTCAACCTATTTGTATATTCTTATATACCAGCAGAACATGAGACCGTGAATTTTGACCGATTCCGACGAAATCAAAAATTAAAGCCCAAAGCTCAACTGAGAATGATATAAGCATTATATGATATCATGAAATAATTTATGATGGATAGACAATAGGCTTTCAATGTCTACTTATTTAGATTGTATTAATACTTTATCTTAACTTAACCTCATAGTCTTATTAAGATCCGAAAAATAACGGAGATTTTGATGATCATGATAGCAAATTGAATCAAGATAATTTAATTCGTGTGCTAGCTTCGGAGTGAGGAATAAATCGAGGTGTGCTTTATAAATTATGCTGTGAATTCGATAATAATGATGAATTATCCTATGGGCAAAAAGTTTGAGACAAATATACAAATAATGTGTAAATCTTTTTTTTTGATAATCCGATTAGCTAGAGCGCCGAAACTTTTAAGAGACTGAGAAGGAGGTTCAGTTTATCTACAGTGAGAAATTCAAGATCATCGAACATTCTGATCATTTTAAATCAATAATTAACTCTTGCGACAATTGAATGATTTTTGCTCGCATTAACGAAAAAAAATATTTGAAAAAATCAACTAACTTTAAGATCCATTTATTTAAATGTTATATAACATTTCAAGCTTTTTTAACTTGCTAACATTAAAAAACACTCTTTGACCTATCAAAATCTTGTATTTTCATTCTGATATTATGCCTAATACGCCAATAATTTAATATAAAGAATCAAAACTAATTGCAAAAATTCAACTTCAATCACCGCAGAAGGGTGCCAAAAACGTAAAATCCGAAGCAAATGGTACTATGTATAGTAGGACATTATATATCAAATTGTACAGCAAGAGTTGCTAATTCTTTGATCGTTTGAAATGAAAAGTTGCAAGGATTTTTGAAAAAGATACGAGCAATTAAACATTTGTCTCAAACTTTCTGCCCATAGGTTATTATAACATAAATAAATAATGATGCGCATTTTTATCGGAGCGTAGTGAAACGAAGTGAAGATTTTAACTCAGATATGCCTTTTCGAAAATTAACTTTTTGTTTTGCTGTAAACAAGATATCTAACGAATAAAACATCATAGAAACATGATATTAGCTGATTACAAATAAACTATTTAGAAATGAAACCATCAACTTTTCAAGGTCGTCAGAGGTCATTTTTCGGGATTTCGACCTTTGACCTTTAGAGGTCATTTGAATGTCGTTTGAAAATTTTCGAGGCATTTTGCAAATTCTCATTCAGATGCATCATTATATCACTAATAGTAATCGAAATTTGGCCTAAAACAGGGCAAAAAGTCTGAAACGCATGCAAAAGAAATTTTTTGTAACTATGATATCTCCTAAACGAATGAGGTCTCAGACTTGATATTTGCAACATGCCTCATTAAGAACATGCTGCAAGCCTGAGAATACAATAACGACCATCAAATGGCATCTTTCGGGATTTCTATGACTTTCACAACCCAGTATGCTTGAATAAACGACGGAGCATTAGCAAATTTTAAAACTTGCATGAGGTTTCACAGGTTATGAACAAGATTTCGGATGCAAGAGAATGTAATGCATCATGGTCGGTACTGAATGGTTAAGGAGTAAAACTAAAATACAATTTCCCGACCTTTTTCGTTTTTTGTTAAATCTAACGAACAATACGATAGATTCAATTCCTTGCTAACGTTCCGATTTTGGCGAGCGATCGTCTGGCCTAGTTTTGGAATGAAAACAAAATTGATTAAGTTTCTCTTTTAAACATTCCTCCTTTGACATTTTCCGGATGAAGTTTTGATTGGCCTACCATCCAAGAGCCTCCTTTATCAGAATTATTGTAAATTTCATGAAACTTTTATCAAATGATAAATATGAATATTTTTACAGTTATTGTAGCTCTCAACTGAAGACTATAACAGCTAATTTCAATATTTGTATTGACTTTATTACTCATTGCTGAATAAACTTAACTAAATAAATAAAAAACAAGTTAGTCATAAATCAAGAAACAAAACACGTCAATTAAAATATCTTCAAAAACAATTGTCATGACTGGCAATTAAATTGAAGTGAAAAAACGATTTTTTAATAATAAATACAGATTCAATGAATAATCTAGGGATTCAAAAGCATTAATCGTTATTAGTTATTACTATTTCTAGTTACACTGATTGACCGTTTTATGACTACGCTAAGACAATTAATCTGGCGATTTCGCATTGAATGGTAGTGTTTAGATGAGAAAAAGTGTTCAAAAAAACACACGACAACAATATTGTAAAATTCACTAGATAATGTTGTTGATGAGACAATTGGGCAAATATTGCTATGACATTTAAAGACTGTTATATTTAATGTTTATAATTGCTAATTGCTGACTATTGTTTATTTTTGTGAGCCAAATTCCACAGCAAATACAGATGATTGCACAAATAAATTATCTGTATTCGATTTCAAACTGTTATCGCGTTTAACCAGATGCCGTTAATAATGTTAATGTTCGAGTAACTACTAACTTCTACCTGCATTTAGCATGAAGCCGTGTATCCAAGAACAAATAAAGTAACTCAAACAAAGAGTCTGTTATTTGAATGTATTTCCGTTTCCAAATGAAAACCAGTTTAATCAGACGCCATAAAAGTTAATATAAAACCCAGCACTTCGATAACTGAAAATCATATCATCTCAAATTGAGATAAGCAAAGTTAAAAAACAAAAACTTCAAAATGGTTTTTAAAATGTATTTAAATTTACTAATCCTTGCTATTACAGCAACTAATTATGTTTCTACCCGATCTATGGGCTCAATGCCAGGCATGGAACTCGACGTGAACATGCCGATGGACATGATGTCAAATGTATTGGGTGGTAGCGCATTTGCTGGTTCAAACGCAGATACAGAGAATGGAGGTAGTGAAGCAGCTTCAAGTGCCGAATCCGCAGCAGTTGCCAATGCAGAGGCAACGACTTATGAAGAACCCGATGGAGAGGATGATGGGTTAACTTATGGAAATGATATATCAGATGCAGACGCAAAAACAACAGCAGAATCAGAAGCTAAAGCCGGCTCTGACAACGGTAGCGGTAACAACGGAGGAAACGGTTATAACAACAATAGTAACAATGGAGGATCAAGCTCAGAAACATCATCATCATCAGCATCAGGTTCATCAAATTCAGAAGGATCTGACAACGGTAGCGGTAACAACGGAGTAAACGGTTATAACAACAATGGTAACAATGGAGGATCAAGCTCAGCAACATCTTCATCAGCAGCATCAGGTTCATCAAATTCAGAAGGATCTGACAACGGTAGCGGTAACAACGGAGGAAATGGTTATAACAACAATGGTAACAATGGAGGATCAAGCTCAGAAACATCATCATCATCAGCATCAGGTTCATCAAATTCAGAAGGATCTGACAACAGTAGCGGTAACAAGGGAGGAAATGGTTATAACAACAATGGTAACAATGGAGGATCAAGCTCAGCAACATCATCATCATCAGCATCAGGTTCATCAAATTCAGAAGGATCTGACAACGGTAGCGGTAACAACGGAGGAAATGGTTATAACAACAATGGTAACAATGGAGGATCAAGCTCAGCAACA